ACTATAGGCCAGGGGTTCTCAGGATAAATTATTTGGTGGCCTCAGAGTGCAGCCACCAAGTCTTGCTGGTGGCTGCTCTCGCACTTTTTCCCTAAAATATAGTTTTCTGAAAAACAAATACATATGCACATATACACAGCCAAGTCATTGCAATGTATTTATTGCTGGCTAGTAAGTCTGTTGTGAAAAGCGATATTAACAAACATACAAGTATCACTTTTCACAGCAGACTTACTCAGCCCCAGCATGTCTGGGGACAAATTAAGCCTTGGACTGCATCTTCTGTTTGTACTAGGCACTATAAATAATTATTCCCCATCCCATCAAATCAGGGAAGCTGATTCTCCCCTAAGCCATCCACGCCTGCCAACCAGCAAAGCCCACCCAACTTAAAGCCCACAGTTAAGAAAATGCCAAACAAAACAGTGTCTTGTATTGCACACCCATGAAGTGGGCAAACATTGGTTGTAAGAGAAAGACCATTTCCAGAGCCAAGGTCAATCCCAACCCCAATCTATCTCCCCGTCAGAACACCTTGCCAGCTCTGTAACACACTTAAGTGTGCCATATTCTCCTCTAGTGGCTGGTCCACATATGGCTTAAAAGCATATTACTGCTGCTAGTTAGCAGACTTACTCCTTTAGGTCAAGGGGCAGAAACCTGTGCTTTGGGTGCTAAAGGTCACAGCTTTGAGGTTCCCTAATAACCAATAGAACTGCTCATTATACCTGCTCCCATGGGGAGAAAGCAATAGCATTTTAGCTCATCACAACTATTATAACAAGGAATGGGGAGGAATAAGGCTGTCAATGAGGAGGCATCCAAATTCTAGGGTATTAATCTGATGTACCCGTCCAGCCATCTGAAAAATCTTTAATCTAATCCCAGTTCAAATGTTCTGTTTCAAATGAGCTAAGAACTTCCCTCACACAAAATGCCCAATATGCAAAAATATACCCATTGTTTTGTAAACTCACTCCCACACGCGTATGGGTTTGTGTTTTAGCAGCATAGGTAGTGGTTAGAATAAGCCGGGGGCAATTATGTGGACCTAGAGTTAGCAAATGAATTACTTGCAAAACCTAAGCATGGTTTTGCAATCTGATGGATGAGTGTCCACAAACATCAGGAATAGGCAGTAGCTAAGAATAGTCACTTTTAAATAAAATGGGGCCAAAGAGAAATAAGGTTGTTTCAATGAACGTTATTCCAGGAAGGGGCAGACAGGGCTTCATGCTGGACAAAAAGGCAGTCAGGGGGTCTTACAAAATATTTAAGATCCCAAAAATAGTCACATGGGAACAAACACACAGGTATTTAAAAAACAAACAAACAAACCACCACCCAACTAGGACTCAAGAGTCATAAAATTTAGCAAAGAATATGAACACAATACAGCAACTGTTCATCTTGTCCTCCCACAAGACAAACTAGGCCTGATTCTGACACCCTTATTCAGGCTGAGTACTACCACACACATTGAGTCCCACTGAAATCAACATAAAGACAGCAGAATCAGGCCCTAAATAAACCATCTGTCTAGAAAAGACAGCAAATGGCAGGTTTTTCCAGTGCTGGTCAGTTACAGGGATTCAAGGGTGGCATATCCGTTTTAGATCCTGTAATATGCATCATCCAACCTCCATCCTGCTTTACAAGTCTAGAGCCAGATCAAGTCAGATTTTTCAGATCTTAGCTCTAGGCAGCCAGATGTTACTACCTAATTTTAAAATATACTGGTCACCAAGCCAACAGAGATCTTGCTTTACGACACTGTCACAAAGAGAATGACTGACTACTTCATTCATATTATTCAGCTCACTCACAGCAAGATGAGAGATTCTAAGCTTTGATTTATCATAGACATCTGCATTACACAACAGCACAACATGGCCTGTCTAGGTTGGCATCAATATCTACAAGGACCATTTATACAGGAATGTTTAACAATCCAGGTTGACTTTTGTTCTGAACCTAAAGCATAGACAGAGACCTATGGTTCCTTTTCATCTGTTCCACTTAATGATTCTGGACATGGTCTAAGAGCAGTCTGGGATTAGGATTTTCCATTATCATTTCACTGCACGTTTGTTTTCGCATATCCCCTATTTGCTGTTGCTACATGCCACCTGGACACTTCTTGGAGAGAGATGGGAAGAATGGCTTGGCCTTCCTCACCCCTTTACAGGACTCTTTACACTTATTAACAGATAGGAAGGAGCCAGGCTCCCAGGAGAGGAGGGTTATAGCACTGATCTGACAGTTTCATTCAAAGAAGGCACAAGATGCGGGCTCCAGGGTGGGGGCAAGATCCATTCCTTCATGGGTAATAAAAATGACAAAACCTCTTTAGTTGGTGGGGAGCAGGATTACCACCAACCGTCACACCCTGAGAATAAAGGAGGCTAATGCCTCATGTCCCTTCCAGGGTATACTGTACATCACTGACTGATCCCCCATTATTCTTGAGGTGGGGGGTAAGGCTCATAGACTGTAAGGCCAGAAGGGACCATCATGATCATCTAGTCCAACCACCTGCATGTTGCAGGCCACAGACCCTCAGCCACCCAATAGGCCCATAAACTCTGGCTGAGTTAATGAAGTCCTCAAATCAGAGAGAGGCAGACCCCAGAGCACCTCAGGGGTACATATCACTGAGTGATCCCCTTCTTTATCCAGGGGGCAGGGACGAACACCATAGTGTCCCCAGTGCACAAACCACAGACTGTTTCCCCAACCCCCAATATGGGGGCCTGTTGGAGGCACACACCACTGACTGATCCCCCCCCACCCCTTATTATCCTGGGAGGGGCAGGACCCCATGGCAGGCTCATTCAGGGACACACAAGATTAGCCGATTCCCATGTATTCTGGGTTGGGGAAAGTGGGGACAGACCCCAGAGCCCCCAAGAGGTACATACCGCAGACCGATTCCCCCTTTATTTCAGTGGGAGACCCCCACAGCCCCTGGGAGGGATACAGCCTAATGCTCCTCTCCATGTGGAGGAGGCCTCCATCCTAGGGAAGGGATAAGAGGGAGGGATACACACCCACCTGGTCTGCAAAGTCCTCAGCCGTGCTCATTAGGTCATTCTGGCCCATGGTCTCAGCTGCAGGGGGGAATTCCTCCAGGCTGGGTGTCTGCCTGCTGCCTGGGCTCTCACACCCCTACCTCCTCCTCTTCTGCTGCTGCTAGCTCCTGCACAGGAAGTGCCTCTCCACTGCTGCTGAAGCCGCTGCTGTCTCCTGCGTCTGCCACGTAGGCCAACTCTTAAAGGAACAGCGCTAGCAGCAGGAGGATCCCCGACAAGGGAAGGAGGGAGGGAGTCGATTGCATGTAACTGACATGAGATACAAGTTTGCCCTATCTCTAGCCTGTGTCTGACTCTTAAAGGGACCTCAGCAGCCCTGTGACAGCAGCCCATGGAAGGGAGGAGGAGGCTGGAGCAGGATCCTTCATGCCCATCACTGCCCTGAAATCAGAGATGGGCAAAGCTTCGGTGGATTTGGGGTTCAGTTTTAAGAAATCTTGTTTGCCAAACCAAAGCTGGGGCGGTTTGGGCCCAGGACCCATTTTATGGGAACCCAGGAAACACACAAAGTTCAAAGCCCAAGGGGGTGGATCTGCAAAACTGGTGGGGATTTTCAATGTCCAAAATCCTCCTCTGTCCAGTCTGTCTGCATTTTGTTTTATGGTTTATATCTATTCTATTCTTTACTGCTTCTTGTACAGCCAGCACCCCTGCCTATGGTCTCTGAGCACTTCCATGGCATATGAACCTCCTTTTATTCAACCCCCAGCACGGCCATAACCAGTGCGGCAACCAACCAGGGCGCAAAACTGTGAGGGTGGAAAAATGACAACAAAAATGGTAGGGGGCGCAAATATACTTGCTTGCCCTGGGTGCTAAAATGTCTAATTACAATATTCAAGGTGGAGTGAGAGGGGAGGTTTTGTTTGTTTTGGGAAAAGGTTTTAGTTTTGAGCCATCTCTTCTTGAAATAGAGGTAGTTACAAAGTAGGATGGCAGACTGTGAAACACTGTGTTGCCAACTCTTGTGATTTTATTGTATGCCTCACAATATTTGGTGTTTTTCTTAGATCCCCAGCTTCTGGAGGCATGTGATTAGGTGAGACTCAGAGCTTTAACTTCAAACAAATAAAAACAAGTTTCTAGTCCCTCATGATTAGATGAAATCTTGAAAACGTGACTTAAGATCACCCTAAAGGCTCAAAAACCACAAGGCAATGAGAAAGCTGCCCTCATTTATTATTTTTATTTTTACAACTCATTGTAAACCAAGCTCATGAATTTTTGAGGCCTGTCTCATGAATTTTGAACACTTGGGGTTGGCAATACTGATAAATCAGTGCCAGGGAACTGCAATCTGCAACTGGAAAACATTCCTACAGCAAAACCAGTCTGCTCTTGTCCTCCCCCATGTATTTTTCTACGTACAACCATGTGCTGATCCAAACCCCTTGTACATCTGTTCCCCTGCTCAGCTTTACTCAGGAAACCCAAAGGTGAGGAGGACATTGATTTTAAACTGTATTTAAATATAGACAGATTTATAATAGTGTCTCTGGGTGCAATGTAGCAAAGCTAAACAGAGGAGTCCTGAAGTGAAATGACCAAGGAAGGGATGCAGGACTTATTGCAGAATTAGCTTTGAAGCAAGAGCTGGTCAGAACAGCTGCCAAATCTGCATCCACAGAAGGGCCCAGTACAGGAGGGCCACCACACACCACGGACCGGTTGCTGCATGGTTTGATGATCACTGTGAATGCTCTGGTAGTATGGAGGACAGAACACAAGCTGCTTCTTGTTACCTGGGGGCCACATATGGAGATGTTTAGGCCTTCTGGGTGACCAGTACATCTGCCCCTTTATCTCAGCGCTGGCAAGCATGCTTCACAGATTTCCTCCTATTTAACAGGAAACCTCCATCCACTGTTTCCCTATCGACTCATTCCAAACATGATTTTTACCAGATCTGGACACATTCTCTTTTGCTCATACCTGCCTTCTTCTATCCCACAAATTCAACTGGGATATCAATTGGGAAAGTTGGAGGCTGAGTTGTGCATGGGAGAATGTTGCACAGAGATTGATTCTTGAAGCCTTGAGACCCAAACAATAGCTTGATTCATCGGTAACAAGCCGTCCTTCTGCAAAAATCCAGCACCTTTCAGGCACTGTGTTCCAATTGCCATGTAGCTCTTGTCCTTTCCCAAGGTGATTCTTTTCATCTCATTGTTTTGACATCTACCCTGAAGGTAATGTTGTTTAAAAGGGCATTCTCAAGATAATTTCCATCATTTAAACAATCTCTCCCCTCCCATGTTATTTATAAATATTTTTGAGGCTTGCAAAACCTTTTTTCCCCTTTACCAAAATATTTTCCTCTATCCTGTAGGTGCATTAATAGTTAGTTGTTGTTGTTGTTTTTAAAGACCACATATTGAATACAACATACAAAACAAAGATTCGGAGAGGAAAAAATTCTCCAGAGCAAACAGGATGAGTTGAGTACACACAACAAACAAGCACAAGCACAGAAACTCGTATAATGCTCTGAACGTGTAATAAAGTAAGAGTTCTCTAAAGTAAATTGTCACCATCTGTTTTGGTTACGGAGTGACTGTGGCACGCACAAGTGCACAACTGAATAGAGTTCAAACTGTTGTGAAGAGAGCAGTGCAAATAAGCAGACAGAGCACCCTGCTCCTTGAAAAGGTATAGCCCTTTAATATTCTTTGCAAGAGCTTATTCTGTTCAAATGAAAATTCTCCCTTCAGCAGTATCACAGTCTGTTGCAATGTATGAAGGAGCCCAGTAAAAGGACCAAGGTCTTGATCCTGCAGAGGCTTATGCACACGCTTGACTGTCCATATTGTGAGTAGTCCCACGGAAGTAACTTGGACTACTCGCGGCACGCAGACAATGAATCACGTGCAAAAGTCTGTGTAGCATCAGGGCCACAGTGGCATAAAAATTCTTCTTCCTTGTCCCTGGATCTATTTTGCATTTGTTAACCCTTTTAATGATAGCTGGAATCATGGTAACAGCCTAGGCAATTGATAAGGTATCCATTGCATCATGATGCATGTCTTAAAACAGGCAGATTTATATAATTTATACATTATGGAGAGGATTACATGGAATTTTTGGCTGCCCAAGGAATGCATGACTGAGCAATCCAGTAGCTATTCAGCGGGAGTAATATTACTATCCATTAAAAGCATAGGTGCTGGACCTACAGAGGCTGGGGGTGCTGCTGCACCTCCTGGCTTGAACTGGTTTCCATTGTATACAGGGTTTGCAGTTTGGTTCAATGGCTCTCAGCCCCCCTGATTAAGAGGAAAGCAAAGCACATGACTCCAGAAATCTTCAGCCACAAAGCACTCCAGGCAAGTGTGAATGAAGGGCTGGATCCTTCAAACACTTATGCGTGTGAATAACTTTACTGATATGAAGAGTGACGAGGAGCAATATAGGCAGGACTGGGGCCTACTTCTAGTCTGGCGCTTTGACATGAACATGGCATCAAGTTGCTGTTCAGCTGCAGCAGGGCTGCTCTGGAGTGATGACTGGGCAGCTACGGTTTTTTCCTCTTGAATTTTTTAAAATTAAAAATTATACATTTAAAACAAATCTTAAGTGTGTTGCTAATGCTATTGTAGCTGCTTCACCAATGCCAGGGGAACGGGAGAGGGGGCAGGGAGCAGGGGCAAGGGGGAGGAGGGGTGTGGAGCAGGGGGCAAAGGGGCAGTGAGAGGTGGAGAGTACAGAGGCAGGGGGCAAAGAGGGGGTGGAGGGGCAGGGCGATGAGAGGCAGGGGGGCAAAGGTAGTGAGAGGCTGGGGACACAGGTGGGGCAGGGGGTGAAGGGGTAGTGGTGGTGAGAGGCTAGGGGCACAACGGCGGGTGGTGAGAGGCAGGGGGGCAGAGAGTGGAGGGACAGAGGATGTGGGGGGCACAGAGGAAGGTGGTGAGAGGCGGGGGGTAGAGAGTGGAGGGGCAAGGAGTGTGGGGGGCCCAGGGGTGGGCGGTGAGAGGCGGGGGCAGAGAGTGGAGGGGTAGGAGGGATGTGGGGGGCACAGGGGCAGTGGTGAGAGGCGGGGGGCAGAGAGTGGAGGGGTAGGAGGGATGTGGGGGGCACAGGGGCAGTGGTGAGAGGCGGGGGGGCAGAGAGTGGAGGGGCAGGAGGGATGTGGGGGGCACAGGGGCAGTGGTGAGAGGCGGGGGGGCAGAGAATGGAGGGGCAGGAGGGATGTGGGGGGCACAGGGGCAGTGGTGAGAGCGGGGGGGGCACGGAGGCGTGGCATGGGGAGAAGGGGCCGAAAGTGTAGGGGGCCCAGGGCAGCGGCTGGAGGGGCCCAGGGAAAGGGGGAGCGCCCAGCAGGAGGCCGCGTGCGGGCTGACGGAGGGAGCCGTTTCTGGTCCCCGTCTCCCGGGGCAGCGGGAGCGGGCAGCAGCAGCCCCGGCCCCGGCGCCATGGAGAGCTACACGGTGAGGAGCGGCGGCTGCCCCGCCCTGAGCGCGCAGGGGGCCGGCTCGGGCCTGAGGGGAGGGGCCCCGTTGCTCATGGAGTAGGGGGAGCTGGGGGTGCCCATTGCCCCCAGGGCAGGGGAGCTGGGGGGTGCCTGTCGTCTCCTGGGGCAGGGGAGCTGTGGGTCCCCGTTGCCCACAGGGGGAGGGGCGCTGGGGGTGCCCATTGCCCACAGGGTAGGGGAGCTGTGGGGTGTGTGTTGTCTCCTGGGGCAGGGGGAGCTGGGGGGTGCCTGTTGTCTCCCAGGGGGAGGGGTGCTGGGGGTGCCCATGCCCCCAGGGTAGGGGAGCTGTGGGGTGCCTGTTGTCTCCCAGGGCTGGGGGTGCCCATTGCCCATGGGGCAAGGGGGACTGAGGGTGCCTGTTGCCCCCAGAGGAGGGGGAACTGAGGGTGCCTGTTGCCCAGGGGGAGCTCGGGGCTGCACAGTGAGGGAGGCTCTGAGGTGTTTTTGTGCCCAGGTTCCCCCATGTTTATCAATGCCTGTTCCCCCCACGTAGGTGTTGGAGCAGCTGGAGCCCGGGGCTCTGGGCACAATGCTGGTGGTGGAGTTAAAAACGGAGAAAGAAGGTGCTGGGAGGAAATATGTGCTGAAGCAGGTGAGAACTTGGTTGCCATGACACCGAGATGCAGCTCTCAAGTACATCTCCCTAGGCCCATTTGCCTGAGAGTAACGTAGCCCAGCATACCAACCGTCATAGACACTGGGTCTGGGTTGGCTTATACTTTGAATTATGACACTGTTTTGAACTGCAGTTGCATTCAGATCGATTACAGGAGCATAAAGGTTGAAGATGGAAAAGACTTATTGAGTCCCTCCTAGTCCATTCTTCCTCTAACTCACTGTCACTCTCATGGCAAGGGAAGGACAAAGCTGATCAACTGCAGCTTTTTATTGCTGCTGGACCCAACTAGCAATCAATGTTATTCTTTTTTTTGTACGAACAGGATTTTAATTCAGCCAGTTGCTTTGTGTACAATACAAAGTTTATACAGAAGGGAAAGTGTCATATTACATCAGCAGGCACCCAACAGTAGATATTAGGGTTGCAGTGTACAGTTACTGATGATATATACAAATCGGGTGCAAATTCTCCTGGTGGGGTTACTTATGCGATGCTCAGTGTCGTAAAGCTTGGCCACCTCTGTATTATATTCTCATCCATGTCTTTTGTTATATTGTTATCGTTGTCTTTTGTTTGTTTGGTACAGGTTGAATGCATTGATGAACAACAAGCAAATGAAGCCCTGAAGGAGGTAGCAATGCATCTTTTTTTACTAGTCTAATTCAGAAGGAGCGGGGTCTTATCTTAGAAAAATCCTTTATCAGCAATCATTTGAAAATATAAATAGCCCTACCTGATTTGGGCCTTGACTACCCATAAACTGTCTTGTCCTCCCTCCTCGTGGGGTCCCAAAGCCTGGGCTCCAGCCCGAGCCTGAAGTCTACACAACTATATAGTCTAGCAGCCCAAGCCCCAGGGGTCTGAGTCAGCTGACACGGGCCAGCCATGGGTATTTTATTGTAGTGTAGACAAGACTCCAGCAACTCAGTTCAGCCTATGAATTCTTAGTAACAATCCTTAGACTTGAATGTTTGGGTTTAAGTGGCCAGCTGTTCTCAATGGATGGCCCTCACTTCAGAGCCTGTGTTTGTTTACCTTTAGGGCACAGTGCAAAGCCCATCTGTTTGTTTGATCATTAGCTGGAAGGATGGAGAGTGGTCTGTTGATAGTCCTGTTTATTACTAATGACTCAATTTCTACATAGTACATGTTATTGTAATGTTGTGTTGATTTTTGTGCCCATGGATCTAGACATTTCTTGATGGGAATGTCTTCACTGGCCTTTCCCTTCTGTGGTACCTGCGTTGTGCATACCTCCTTCAGTATTTAATAAATAAGACATAATAATAAGTCAGCAATATTGCTAATATCATAATTATTGTTCCAACAGAACACAGATATTCACAACAGAATGGTCTAGTGCAGGGATTGGCCACCTTTCAGAAGTGGTGTGCCGAGTCTTCATTTATTCACTCTAATTTAAGGTTTTGCGTGCCAGTAATACATTTTAATGTTTTTAGAAGGTCTCTTTCTATAAGTCTATAATATATAACTAAACTATTGTTGTATGTAAAGTAAATAAGGTTTTTTAAATGTTTAAGAAGCTTCATTTAAAACTAAATTAAAATGCAGAACTCCCCGGACCAGTGGCCAGGACCTGGCCAGTGTGAGTGCCACTGAAAATCAGCTCGCGTGCCGCCTTTGGCACGCTTGCCATAGGTTGCCTAACCCTGGTCTAGTGTCACTGCTGGTGTTCATTGCACCTAGCCCCTGCTGTTCACAATAAGTGAGAATGTTTAAAACCAATTAATATTTAGTTGTGGTCAGAAAGTAATTAAAATTGCCTATTCTACTCAATATACCAGCCCCCTGTGTGTATTCAGAATTAGATCTGCTGACTTTACTGACCAAAGTTTGAGCCAAATTGTCTGCTGGTGTAGTTCTATTAAAGTAAATGAAGTTATACTAGCTGGGAATTTGGCCCTTTGTTTTTTTTACTCCTTTTTACTCCATTTAGCTCTGTAGTGCCATGAGCACAGCTTTGGGAGAGTGAGCTGAATTCTGTTCCAGCTCATACATCAACAACAGAATTTTTAAGTAAGTTCCAATTGCAGGATCTTTACCTTGAGACTTTACCTCGTGGCCAGGGTTAGAGAGATGGACACTTTGTGCATTTTAGTTACACGTGCAATTCACAGTTGACTCAGGGTTACTGCAGATGATTGGTGTATCAGAAATAATCCAGTTTGACTTTCAAATTCCAGGATGAGTTTGTAAGGCTGGCTGTTAGGAAACAATCTTTTTACTTGTGAACTGATCCTTTGCGAGATGACAAATGTTGAACCCCAATATGCTATTTGTACAGAGTTATATTTAGAGTAGAGCTTCACTTAAGTACTGTATTTCACTTTTCTTGACACACCTTCGATTGCAAATGTGAACTAGAACTGAAAAAGAAAAAGAACTGGACCTGGCTACTTTGACAGGGACATGGCATGATTGACAGTCAGATATCTGCCCTTTGTGTTCTGTGTTTTGAAGACATTTTCTTAATCCAGGAGAAAAAAGCATGTGGATTGTTGCAGCTCACTCAGAGTAAACTCTTTGAGTTTCATTTGCTGTCTTTCCAACAGGCAATGGATCTGCTGAAACTTCAGCATTCAAACATCTGCATTTACAAAGAATTGTTTATCACCTGGGATAATAAGGTGAGAATGAAATACTGCCTGTTAGAGTGGAGTGCACAAACTGGCATGTCAAAGTTTCTGTAGCTAGGTGAGGGGACACTTAAGGTTTCTGGGCCTGTGATTGATCCTCCTTCTGTGAAGTATCAGAGGGGTAGCCGTGTTAGTCTGGATCTGTAAAAAGCAACAGAGGGTCCTGTGGCACCTTTAAGACTAACAGATGTATTGGAGCATAATTTCCATTATATGTGTCTGACGAAGTGGGCATTCACCCACGAAAGCTTATGCTCCAATACATCTGTTAGTCTTAAAGGTGCCACAGGACCCTCTATTGCTTCCTTCTGTGAAGGCCGCTAAGTTACACTACCATTGGGGCAGCACAACATGGCTGTGTTGCATCCCAGTGTCTTTGTATCTGTATGCAGTGTCTTTTCCTTTTGTTCCCATATGCAACGGATACACAATTTTTAAGCTGCTGCGGTTCCTTGCATGTCTGAATAAAGCACCTTAAAAATTGGCCCATAAAGAAGCCAGAAGGCCAGAGCTATTTCTTTGTGGACACAATCTTGCATGCTACTTGGGCCTAAATCTCATTGAATTCAGTAGAATTTATGTTTGAGTGGAACTGCTCATATGGTTTCAAAGGTACTTGTTCCTGTTAGAAGCAGATGTTTGATGTTTAAGTAGACAAAAGTAAATATTGACTCTTTTGTGGGAGACAAATAATCCCATCACATACTTCCATGGTGTGCACCAACTCTATTTGCAAGGTCCAACAGCTGATTTGTATCTTTGTTGCTGCATATGTCATTACCTCCAAGTGACTGAATAATGTCGATCTAATCTCTGTTGCAGATTTCATCTCTATTTCTTTGTCTGGTGATGCAACACTCAAGCCAAGGAGACCTTTCATCTCTGATCAAGGCAAAAAGAAAGAAGCGAGAGAAAGTAGAAGATATGGTAAAAAATTACAGAAAAGGCATCTTATTGAAATGTAAAGTAATCTCACTGCCTTTAACTTTTTTCACTACCTTCTGTCCTTTCTCAGCTGCTCCCCAGAGAAATCAAAGTATAGTATTTATTGCTTAAAGCAGGAGACTAGGACTTAAGACTTCTGAATTCTCTTCCCAGCTCTGCCACTGAGTCATTGTACAATCACAATAATAATACTTATCACTTATATAATTTTCTATTCCTGGGCAACTCAACCTTTCCGTGCCTTAGTTTACTCTTCTGAAAAATGGAGATAATAATAGTGCCTAATTCACAGGGGTGATGTGCAGGTTAATTGATCTGCAGAAAGTGAAAGGAGTATAGTATTCCCACTTGGACTGGAGTCTGTATCAAACTAAGAAGCCTTCATGTGATTAGACATGTCTTATTTCACCATGAAGTTATTCTTTGTGTACTACATTTTCATGTATATTTCTGTCCATAGGTGCTTCAGAAGTTCCTGGGGCAGATGGTGGATGCTTTGTTTTATATACACAAACAAAATGTTTTTCACAGGTAAATAGAAATTCCAGCCTCTTTGACGGCTAGACCTTTGTCTGTTTGCAGCTGAACTATCACTTCAGCACAACTATTCACTTGAGAAGCAAGACATTGTACATTTTGCTGGCATGGTGAGGCGTTTCAGAGATAAGATGGAGTATCAAAATGAGTTTATAGCAGAGATAGATTATTAGTAGATTTACTGTATGAGTGTTAATCAGTGCGCTTCTCCTTCTCCCACCATTTTTTTCCCTCGGTGGTGTTTGACTTCAGAGACAGTAGTCTGATGTGAATTTATTGATTAAAGCAGGGGAGTGGAAGTTATACTCCTGGATTCTATTTCTGCATCTGATTGTTGTCACTCTAGGCAAGTCATTTAACTCATATGTTCTCCCCAGATTTATCCATCCACAAAATGAGAATAACTTAACTCTTGAAAGTTTGTAAAGTGTTCATGATCCTGTAGTTAATGAAATACTGGCATATTGACTCTTCATTCACATTCATATTACAGTCTATAATCCTGCGTAAACCTTGGCAAATGAGCTGTGCCTTTCATAAACTAAAAGAGTAAACAAACTTAACAGGAATAAGAGCGGAAAAAGGACTAGTGTCATGCTCAATGTTCGGATAAAGTTGAGGCTTCCAGTGTCAATTTTTAAAGCTTTTTGCCTTATTCACAGTAAAAAAGGAAAATAAATGTATTTTATTTCATTATAATTTGTAACTTAAGAACAAAGCCCATCTTTTTTATGTAAAAGGTCTCAGAGATAAGAAGCCTGTAGCTATACATCATTACGCTCTGATTTAACTTGTTGATAAAAACCATTTCTGTGTGTTGCAGAAACCTCAAACCGTCTAACATCCTTTTAACTGATGAAGTATCCTTCATGCTTTGCGATTTCAGTGTAGAAACTCTTATGACTGATGAAATGAAATGGAAGATAAGAGTGGAAGAAGGTAGCTATTTAATTTTAATATTTTAGTATTCTGTTGGGATTTTTTTTAAAGAGATTCAACTGTGTTTTTTAACAGTTTAATTTTATTACAAAATAAAGACGGAAAACACCTTTTTTTGCCTATTACATTTTATTTCTTCTAAGCAGCAAGCAAGATCATTGTAAAAGATCAAGAATTAAATTGATTGATTGTGTTATGAAAACTTTCACACTTACATAATTGGTCTGAATCTTGCTCAGCGGTGATAAAAAATAATTGTTACTGTCTGATCGCAGTTTTGTGGTACGTTTAAAATGAGTTTGGAAGTTGTCTGTCCAGTTACAAGTGGACAGATGCTCACATCATACAAACCACTGTCACAATTGGAAAAATAGATCTTTTAATATTTTGGGAGTCATGAGATGGCTCTAAGCTACACTGAATTTGTAAGACTATTTGCAATAATGTATAGGAAGTTAGATCTTGGTGAATTGTTTGTCATTAATTGTAGTGCGGTTCTTCTATGGAGTATCACCAGTAAAAATCTAACTCACTGTAGAATCTTTCTGACTGAATTGTACTTTGATGTGAAACTGCTATCTACAGGTCACACCCATGCAAGCAAAGCAAAACATTACACAGTGTCAAAACAATTACTGATCTGACATTTATTTCAACAGATTCTGACTCTAAATCCTGGATGTCCCCTGAAGCACTCTGCTTTTCCTTTAGTGAGAAGTCTGACATTTGGTCTTTAGGATGTATTCTACTAGACATGATGACCTGCTTCTTTCTGAAGGTATGTACTGTTGAGAGTACCACGAACATTTCACTGGGAATGTAATGTGTCAAAAACTCTCAAGAGATCCACAAAGTGAATACATACAGAGTCTACTAGTATTCTGTTCTTTACAGGTGAAAGACACAAATTCATTACTGCAGGATATTAGAAAGGACACCAGTAGTCTTGAGAGAGTTCTGACGTTAATGCAGAAAGGGAATAAAGAGACTCTGCCTTTGTCTCAAATTTTACTTATGATGCTACAGATTCTGCCCAGTATGAGACCCTCAGCAAAGTGAGTTCTGGACATTTCCCCTTGCTCTAGTCTGTTTTTTGCTTCCTCTGGGCCCCTATCTGCTGTAAGAGGGAGTGTTCTTCAGTGTTTAGATTAGGGGACTGAGAGCCAGGGTTCCTAGGTTCTATCTCTGCAACTGACTTGCTGTGCTACCTTGCTGTAAGAAAGTCATTTCACCTATTAGTGCCTTGGTTTCCCCATCTTTGAAATTAGTGTTCCGGTGTACACTGACCAGAGATTCTCTGATCAGAAAGGACAGTTGGTTTTGTTGGAGAATTATGTTATAAAACAAAATTATAGACAAGCTTTTGGAGGCTGGGCTGTAGTCTGTATATAGTTCGCATTCTCAGAAAATGTCTGCATTGACTAAGGTTTTATTTTTATATGAGAATTTCAAAGCTCTTTACAAACATTAATTAATTAAGCCTCAGAGTACATCATGAGATTGGTTAGTGTTATGTCCACTTTCCAGGTAGGTAAAATGAGGCACAAGTGTTAACTGACTTGCCCACAGCCACAAAATCAGTGAAAGAGTCAAGATCAGAATTTAGGAGTCCTGATAACCAGAACCCTCTTTTATCCACTAATTAACACTTCCACTTCCAACAAAACACACCAAAATCAATAGGAAAACTTTGTTGACGTTCTTTCTCTCTCCTTCTCTAGGGATCTGGCTGATATTCCATATGTTATGGAATGTTTGACTCTTGCTGGTTCCTCGTTATCAAAACAGGAAAAAACCTTGCCTTCAGCAATTTTAGATATGCTCCTTGAAGGAGGAATTGGAAGTGTTTTAGGTAATCAGGAAAATAAGTTGCTTTTGAGATACTGACATTAGTTTTCTATTGAAATGCCATGTGTGTTCCATTTAGGATGTATTATACTACAGAAATGAATGAATGGATGGCTACCCATTGTACCTGAAATGAAATGCATCACTGTTTTGGACAAGAATCTCTGTGTCACCATTCTTATAACTTCATAAGAGTAGTAGCTCTTATCTAATGTTCTGTCTGAATAGGGTGAGAGAGTGTTATTAAAATAATTTTTGTCAGACTGTTCTGAAGTTCCTGGGAGTTCCCCTCTCTGATTGCATTCTAGTTTATGGCAGTTAAACATGTTAAGATATTCAGTTAGAATGCATTATTGGCTAAAGAGAAAAAGCTGCTCCTTTAAAGAATTTTGTTTACTTACATATCTTTACATTTTCTTATTAACATCATTTCATATTGGAGTGTTTTAAAAGAACATACATTATACTTAAGCTACAAACTCTCAAAGAATTTTATGAGATAGCAACATTACAAGATTTGTGGGGCTCCTAAATATATTCAGCAAGAAAGTTCTTATGTACATTTTCTTCGTAAAAAATCCAAACGACATGTGTCTTGTAGAGGGTTGCCATATTCAATAATAAATATTTCTAGTTTCTAAAGCTTAGCAGCTCCATAAACCTGTTAGAGCTCTAGTTTTTTCCCTCCTGAGATTTTCAGCATCACAGAGAAGACTGACTGAAGAAAATGTTACATATATATGAGATCAGATCCACAGTTGGTGGAATCAGCATAGCTCCATTGGGTTTAATGGCCTATACCAATTGATGTTATCTGGGGATCTGGCCCTTGGCTTTGGTTAGGGATTGGGATGGAATTAGCTTCAGTTCTGTAAAATCTGCTCTGCACAAGATAAAGAGTGTGTATAAAACCACTAAAGCCTTTTTAGTTCAGTGCTACAATTCCCCAAAACAGGAAATGCCATGTGCATAGGTGGGGAAAAAATCTTATTATTTTTTGTTCATATATCAACACACCTACTATTTTGCGTGAGATTTGCAATTTTTAAATGTTTTACACTTTCTTTCATTTTTTTTTAACTGAGTCTCAAGCTGAATTTCTTTCAATTATGTGAATTCACAGGCTGGGCACAGAATAGGAAAACGATAAAATTATGAACGTATCCTGTAAATATTTGTGTAAAATGACTTAGCAGAAACTTCTGATGTCTTGTTTTATGCAGAATTTATGCAGACTTACTGGGACATAGAGCAGGCTCAAGCAAAAGCCATAAAGCGCCTTGCCAGCTTACTAGGAGAAGAAAATGGTATGGGTCAATATTTCAGCATTTTGTTTTACTATGTTCTTGCTCACTGCTTTTACTCTGAAAATAGTGGGAAAACATATTGCATAATAGTACATTAGCTTGTTAGAAAACTGGGTTCAAATTCTGCTGTTGGCTACAAGTGAAAATGAGTTTGATTGGTCCCAACCTATTTTCCACTTGTGCACATCTATCTATCTCTGTTTGGGAAAAGCTTGGACTGAAATCACAGAGATATTGTTGGACAGGATTGGCGTGCACTGGCAGAGCTGCGTTTGTGGAGCAGGACCAAAGATGCTGTACGTCAGGGCTGGTGTGTGTTGTCAGAGACCTGTGGGGTCCCAGGACTGTAATAACAGAGACTGATGCAGGTTGGAATTTTAGTGCTTTGGCAGAGCTGTGTGTTGGAAGGTTACATAGCTTCTCCCTTCATTATGTCTAGCTCTCTGCAGTGCTATTAGACTAATGCTTTTATGAACTCTAAATTCACTCTGTTAAACAAATTCCACTAATAGTACGCTTATTTCAAACTATTATCACTTTTAATACTGGCATTGACCTTTGATATTAAAAAATAGAGATGTTTAAGATCTAGGTAGATATTAAAGTATAACGATTTAATGCTCTAGGACTGTAAGCACTAAGGGGAAAGAACATAGTGATTTCCTGTCATCTACCAATATCTGTGAAGCATTTCAACTGAAAAGTGGCTTTTCCCATTGAAACAATGTGACTCTGTGATAAATAACAGTTTGAATAGGCATGAATAGACCCTTGCTAGCAGTGATATAAGCTGAATTTGTTACAGTAGATATTTACATCTCTGAGCAGGGCCGTCCCTGGGGGGTGCGGGGCCCGGGACATCGGTGCCAAGTTTCTAATCTGCCAGGGGGTGCTCCCCCCAGCTCCGCCCAGGCCCCACCCCCACTCCACCTCTTCCCCCAAGGCCCTGCCCCTGCCCTGCCTCTTCCCACGCCTCCCCACCTCTTCC